ATGGTGAAAAACTGACTTTGAAAAATAAGTCTGTTCTTTTTTTCTTATAAAAGGCTAAATAAAACAAAAGTATTGATGGTAATTTTTGACTGTGTAACTTTACAAACGGCACCTCAAACATTTTGACAGAACCACCTCTGTGTGATTGTTGATGCTGTAATAGGAGATTCTGATGGTTTCTCTTTTGCAGTTTTATGAACCGTAGTTTTAATAGAAAGTTCAAATGAATTTCTTAATCATAATGAAATGATTTAAGGTAAGATGTGTAACTGAATTCATCCTCTTGCAGGGTGTGTCGCGTGGATTTCATGGCTCTCCTCACCAACATCACCATCCTGCTGGTCCTCGCTTGTGTTTCCCACCAGATGCTTTTAGGCGTTTCCCACAGGAGTCATGGCCGGAGAGGACGGGGGGACAGAGGACAACACAAGGAAAGATCAGGGCAGAAGTCTGGCCGCCGACCCAAATCCGTTCCTGCGTTTCAAACTATGGGCAGCTGGGTCACTAAAGACCAGTCTGAGTGCACCTGGACTGCAACTCACAAGGACCTCGTCAGTTTAAACATCACCTGCAAGCAGGCAGAGAGGAGCTTCAGCTGCGAGTACACAGCCAGACCCTCTGTTTGTCCCCAGTACTCCTCCAGTAAAGACCTCTTCTGGGCGCAGGTTCTCAGGGCCCTGAAGAAGCACAAGAACCTCTGCCGGGACGACGGTGGGCCGGTGAGGGCGGGGGTGTGCAAAAGAGCCGGCAGAGAGGCTCATTTCAGRCTCCGCGCCGCACAGAAAGCGAAGACCACCTCATCGGGTATTCCACCGCTCGCACCCAGAGCTGTCASATCCTGTCAGCCTGACAACAGGAGGCTGGCGGAGGAGCTCTGCAGCGACTCCTGGTCCAGTTTCTGCACCTTCTTTTTCACCATGGTGAAGGATTCTGACTGCTGAAGCAGAAAGAAGTTCAACTCGTGCCGCCATAACGAAGTCTGTCCTCTCATAGATAACAAATTATAAAACATTAACTCTCATTCATGCTTTTTCTTTAAAAACTGAAACAAATAAATAAAATTGTTTTAAAATAAAATGTTAAACTTGTCTCGTTGAAACAAATATACTCATCAGAGATCTATAAAGTACTTGAAATTTTTTAAAGTACCTGTGACATCAAATTTTTATAATAAATATGAATGTATTTTTGGAAAGATAACATTGATAACATATTGTAAAAAAGATTTCACGTTGCTGTGATGAACAGTTGTTGAGATATTCACATGTGAAGAAACAGGAAGTGATGTCAAAGGGGAATGTCTAAATGTAAACAGAGCGTTGCTAAAATGGCTAACAACACAAACTAGAGAAGAATCTGATGTTTCTTTAGATTATTTTAATCACTATCATACAGAGATGAGTCGATTCAAATAAAATTGTTTCAGTAAACAAATACCAGGGAGTTTTTTTTCTCAAAGAGTTCCCCTTTGATGTCACTTCC